CAACATACTCACTCACTCACTCACTTTAAGGTTTGATTCTCCACATACATTGGAACTGGTTGGCATCCCCTGCTATGATATGGCTGGCATAGTGCTTTAAAACTGACCTCTGTCACTTATTCATTTCTAGGTGCAGTGGGGTAGTCTAGTGGTTAAAGTGTTTGGCTCATTTTGCCAAAGGCCCGGGTTCATTTCAGCACATGGGTACAATGTGTGAAGCCCATTTCCAGTATTTGCTGCCCTGATATTGCTGGAATATTGCTAAACACCACTCACTCACTCACTCACTCACTCACTCACTCACTCACTCACTCACTCACTCACTCACTCACTCACTCACTCACTCACTCACTCACTCACTCACTCACCCACCCACCCACCCACCCACCCACCCACTCACTCACTCACTCACTCACTCACTCACTCACACTGGGCGGTGGGGTAGCCTAGTGGTTAAGACCCGGGTTGGATTCCCCACATATGGGTAGAATGTGTGAAGCCCATTTTTTGTGCCCCCCACCCCGCTATGCTAAAAGCAGCGTAAAACCTCACACTCACTCTCACTCCACATTGAATGATTGATGTTTCATGCTAACGTTTGTATTAGTGTATCCAGGAATATATGAATCATTTCTGTTGATTACTAGAATAAAGTAATATTTGAGCCAAAAAACACCTTGATAATTTATTTATTTATGAAGGATGTCAGTATTGTCAATAAAACATTTGAAAATATACATGTAGTAAATCATCACCAGACAGTTCCATCGAATATCCTCGGTGCACAAAGTGGCCATTGGTTGAATGTAGAAAGTAGGAAAAGACAAAGGTGTTGTTAGGTAAAGTGTCCTACACTAGACAACATTAGGGATCCAAGGTGAATATAGATAGATAATGGTGAGGTCATCTGTCTTCCGGTTAGGTATAAAACCAGACATGTAACATTTCTGTCTAAAATCGGGAATCTTTTTGAATATGATGTTTTGATGTCGAACATGCATCTTAGGAAGGTGTAGATTATGGTCAACTGAGTCTTCCTCAGCAAAGAAGACAAGTCTTGTCAGTATTTTTCTTCGTCCATCACATGCCTGTGAAAGCTAAAATGGTTAATGACACATGTGTCCAGTGAAAAAGTTTTGGGGCCTTCAGTTAAAGATGGGGATGGGGCTGCATTGACTTGATAACTTACCTCTCCAGCAAGTTGTGGAGAGGATTATGAAGTGTATCTCTCTCTCTCTCTCTCTCTCTCTCTCTCTCTCTCTCTCTCTCTCTCTCTCTCCCACTCACTCACTCTCTTTCTCCCACCCACTCACTCACTCACTCTGACTCACTCTGACTCACTCACTCACTCACTCACTCACTCACCCACCCACCCACCCACCCACCCACCCACCCACCCACTCACTCACTCACTCACTCACTCACTCACTCACTCACTCACTCACTCACTCACTCACTCACTCACTCACTCACTCACTCACTCACTCACTCACTCACTCACTCACTCACTCACTCACTCACTCACTCACTCACTCACTCACTCACTCACTCACTCACTCACTCACTCACTCACTCACTCACTCACTCACTCACTCACTCACTCACTCACTCACTCACTCACTCACTCACTCACTCACCCACCCACTCACTCACTCACTCTGACTCACTCACTCACTCACCCACCCACCCACCCACCCACCCACCCACCCACCCACTCACTCACTCACTCACTCACCCACCCACCCACCCACCCACCCACCCACCCACCCACCCACCCACCCACTCACTCACTCACTCACTCACTCACTCACTCACTCACTCACTCACTCACTCACTCACTCACTCACTCACTCACTCACTCACTCACTCACTCACTCACTCACTCACTCACTCACTCACTCACTCACTCACTCACTCACTCACCCACCCACCCACTCACTCACTCACTCACTCACTCATGTTTCCCGGGCAATTTCTCCTGGGATGCTAAAGACAAATGTTAATATTGTCACAGATACGGAGGGATTATCACAGGTAGATTAGTATGTTTAAATAAATACTGTTTCTGTTACCAAAGTGCAATCAAATATTTGAAAACCTTGTGCAAATTAGTTCTCCCTGTTCATGTCATTAACTGAACGTCCTCCATTTTTATTGATACACATTGTCAATATCGCACAGTCAACCCCTTGAACAATGAGCTTATGCAGTCATTTGTAAACAAACATGTGACACGGCTCAAACACACGATGCACAATATCGATAATTAGCATCTATAATTATAACAACAATCAATTTATTTCATTTCTATCAAATCTGATATCAAGCAGGGCTGCTGCTCATTGATATCAAATCAAGTTATTATCAAAGTCATATGACCTTTCTCCTCTCCCTGGGGACCATACTAATTTCTCAGCCAGTCTGTTTGGCGCTGAAACTTGTAACTCACATTACCTTCACCTCCCACTGGGTACCCATTTACTGCAGGATGAAAGGAAGCACAATTGATCAAAGCCACTTACATACAGTGACACCACATGGCATTACATCACACAGTTTTGAGACACACTTTGCTTTAAAAGTTGGTGCCAAATGACTTTTGAGTCTATTTGACCAGACCCGTGAAGATTCGGGGTAGAATAGGTCTTCAGCAATCCATACTTGCCGTAAAAGACGACTATGCTTGTCGTAAGAGGCAACTAACTGGATCGGGTGTCAGGCTCGCTGAATTGGTTGATGCATGTCATCGTATCCCAATTGCACAGATTGATGCTCATGATGTCAATCACTGGATTGTCTGGTCTAGATTAGATTATTTACAGACCGCCGTCATTATGATAACTTGAATATTGCTGGATGCGGCGTTAAACAACAAACAAACAAAGAAACTAATCTATTTGACCAAACTTGGCTCGTAGCATCTCAATCTGTAGATTTTAGTGTTATTATGTGGACAACTATTAGCTGAGATTACTAAGCCTTTGTGGCCAAAGTCGGCGATTGCTAAGACTCGGGAGTACTGTTGAAATTAAAATATTCAGAATGAGACATTGCAAGGAAACTGTAGATGTTCTCAGGGGTCAAGTCTGTTTTGCTGTCCAGCCAGGTGCAACTTGTGCCCAGCCATGCATCAACGTTCCCCACTGATGTATAATGTGCCGAGCCTACTCTCCATTATCGGTAAAACCTCACCATATCTTCTAGTCAAGACAAGCTCCTTGCACCAATACGTCTCCAAAGTACTCTCTGTACTAAAGATGCTGTGATCTAAACACATGACTGTGCATACATCCTTGAATAGAGGATGAGCAGGGTTTTATGCTGCAATGACAGACATATGCTTGTTCCTCTTGTACACATTGTATCAAACATGTTTAAAATGTGCCTTTCATGTGGTCACTTTAAGAAAACAAATGTTATGACCTTTCTCTGTTAATTTTTAGTGTTTGTCTTTTGCCAACTTGAATGCCCTTTCAGACATATCTGTGAAAGAGATTTCAATGACTTATATATATTTTAAGGACAAGAAAGAACTTTGCCATTTGCTTTTATCTTATACAACGAGAAAGAGAAACATATGAACTTTTTTTAATTAATATGATCTATGGCCAAATGATGGACAGCAAATGAAAAAAAATGAAAACATTAAGGACTTTGAAACTCAAGTACAATTAATTAATTTAGAAATAGTTCAGGTAAGGTTCAATTATCTAGATGTAGTTTGAGTCACCTACAATCATGATGATAAGTTAGGAATTATATACCATTTCACTATCATTCTCTAGACAAAACTGCTCTTTGAATACAATTCCTTCTAATAATAAGTTAGAGATTGTACCACAAAAGCTGTTTTTCGAATTCATATTTAAGGAAGGAGTTGATCATTCGCTAAGAATATGGATGCGAACATAGCTGTATTTGAACCATTATTGTTTGTCATTATTTCAAACAAAACTATAGCACATTATAGCACCTCAGAAGGCAGCTTGGGTTGTATGATTTCCATGAGCGAGGGAAATTCAAGTGCACCCTGACCCATTGCAGGGTACAATTAACTTCAGATCAAGTCCGTTTGTTAAAGGGCAAGTTCACACGGAAATGAACCTATTTTTCTTGTACTTTTTCCACATTAAAAGTGTTAACATAGAAGTGTCATAGACAAAAATATAAAAAATATCACAATTAATTAACATATTTTTCGCATTAAAACGATTTATATTTTTCACATTTACCAAGTGTTCTATTTCCACAACAAAAACACCATGGCTTATGCCCCTTGCAATATGACGTCATTGGTGCCAATTGATAAACATTATGACGTCATCATGCTTTGTTAGAGCCGCTTCACGTGGTGTAGGTCCAGGTGTGTGATTCTAGCGTCTCAGATGCCAGCCAGCATAGTGTTATGCTGAGTCACCACTGCGCCGGAGTGTGTCGTAGGCCATGTTGTTTTACCGCAAACTGGTACTTGATATCTTTTGCGTTGAGAATAGACAGGGACCCATTTGAATTGGCACCAATTACGTCATAATCTAAGGGGGATAACTCAGGCCTGTTTAGCTCGAAAAACGAAGGCCTCATAACGGCATATCATTTTCACACTATTGTGAGCTTCCTACGTTCACTGTGAAAAAAATGAGTGTATATTTTCAAACACAGATACTAATTAATTCTAAAATTGCGTTTTGTTTAGAAAAAGAAAGAAAGTGATTTTTGCGTGTACACTTCCCCTTTAACACCAGAACCTAGGTATATAGATGCCGATATGATTGATGTTGGAAACAAAATTACCTCCATGTTGTGTGGAGGGAGGAGATGATTCACAATGGGTTTTATGTGGTCTGCCATTGATTTCCATGGTCTGGCAATGTCCTTGTGTGGAGTGTCATGGTGGAATAGAGACAGATTTGTGAGGCGTGGATGGTAACAGATTCCCTGCTGCTGCTGCTGCTGCTGTAGCTGGTGCTCCCTGATATTGATGATATGTCTCTCTGTTTCAGATAGAGTTGGTGCTGCCATCTAGATCAGCATCATGTGTGGGAGCTGTCATGATCATGTAAGTCCTCAACTCTGCAGTAGCTCCACCTGGGAAACTAACTTGCTTCTCTTTAACATGCCATTCTTGTCCCTCTAGTCCACACTTGTCCCTCTAGTCCACACTTACCTCTCTAGTCCACACTTACCTCTCTAGTCCACACTTACCTCTCTAATCCACACTTACCTCTCTAGTCCACACTTGTCCCTCTAGTCCACACTTGTCCCTCTAGTCCACACTTACCTCTCTAATCCACACTTACCTCTCTAGTCCACACTTGTCCCTCTAGTCCACACTTACCTCTCTAATCCACACTTACCTCTCTAGTCCACACTTGTCCCTCTAGTCCACACTTGTCCCTCTAGTCCACACTTGTCCCTCTAGTCCACACTTACCTCTCTAGTCCACACTTACCTCTCTAGTCCACACTTACCTCTCTAATCCACACTTACCTCTCTAGTCCACACTTGTCCCTCTAGTCCACACTTGTCCCTCTAGTCCACACTTACCTCTCTAATCCACACTTACCTCTCTAGTCCACACTTGTCCCTCTAGTCCACACTTACCTCTCTAATCCACACTTACCTCTCTAGTCCACACTTGTCCCTCTAGTCCACACTTGTCCCTCTAGTCCACACTTGTCCCTCTAGTCCACACTTACCTCTCTAATCCACACTTACCTCTCTAGTCCACACTTGTCCCTCTTGTCCACACTTACCTCTCCAGAAAAGTCCACACTTACTGCTCTAGTAAAGTCCACACTTACCTATCTAGAACATTCCACACTTACCTCTCTAGAACAGTCCACACTTACCTCTCTAGTCCACACTTACCTCTCTAGAAAAGACAACACTTACCTCTTCAGAAAAGTCCACACTTACCTCTCCAGAAAAGTCCACACTTACTGCTCTAGTAAAGTCCACACTTACCTATCTAGAACATTCCACAGTTACCTCTCTAGAACAGTCCACACTTACCTATCTAGAAAAGACAACACTTACCTCTCTAGAAAAGTCCACACTTACCTCTCTAGAAAAGTCCACACTTACCTCTCTAGAAAAGACCACACTTACCTCTCTAGAAAAGACCACACTTACCTCTCTAGAAAAGTCCACACTTACCTCTCTAGAAAAGTCTACACTTTCTTCTCTTGAAAAGTCCACACTTACTTCTCTTGAAAAGTCCACACTTTCTTCTCCAGAAAAGTGCACACTTGCTTTAAAAGTACTAGCTTGCTTCTCTTGAACACTCCAAAACCCCATACTTTTTCTCTTGAAAAACCTCAACATTGCTTCTTTAAATCCATTCTTGCTTCTCTTGAACATACCACACTTACCTCTCTAGAAAATTAAGAACTACTCACCTCTCAAGAGCATTCCACACTTTGTTCTCTAGAAAACGTCAAACTTACTTATTAGAATCCAAACTGGCTTCTCTAAAAAAATTTAAGCTTGTCTCTTTAACTACAGATTATCTCCCTTGAAAACTTAATTCTTGCTTCTTGAACTGCAAATTTGTTACTCGGGGAAACTTCAAGCTTGCTTCTTAAACTGAAAAACACCTATACCCTCTAGAAAAAATTAAATTTGCTTCTTAAACTGAAAAAAATAGCTCCTCTAAAGCTCCCAACTTGTTTCTCTAAAAGACTTCAAACTCACTTTTTTAGGAAATTAAGACTCACAACTCAAAATACCGAAGTCGGCTGTGAAATTAATAAGTTGATATTGCATATAATTCTGATAACTCCAAACTTGATGCTCTATGCTTCAAAACTATATTTTAGTGAAAAATCAAAAGCTCCAGGGCTTGGTCCCCCAAAGTCTTAGCACCACGACTATCCCACACGCCTTAACATTGACTTAGGGCGGTCGGGTAGCCTAGTGGATAGAGTGTTTGCTCGTCATGCCGAAGACCCGGGTTCGATTCCCAACATGTGTGAAGCCCATTTCTGGTGTCCCCACCGTGATATTGATGGAATATTGCTAAAAGTGGCATAAAACCAAACTCATTCACTCACTAACATTGACTTGACCCTGTGTGGAGTCGGTCTCCAGCAACCTGTTGAAGTCAGTCTCTGTGACTTGGTTGATTGTGTGTCATCTTACCCCATCGGCATGGAGCAGTCATTGGATTGTCTGGTCCAGACTTGATTATTTAAAGGCCACAATGATGGGAAGAGAATATATGGATGTCAACTTCTTTATTATGAGGAACACAACGTTTCGGAGTATATGCTTACTCCTTCGTCAGGTGAATGAATGCCATGAGGCAGAGAGCATATATATGTACATGTAAGGACAACAAGATAATAAGATAACAAAAGGTAGAAAATAACAAAGGGTAGAAACTAACAGATGATTGGCGCTGATAGGTGATTAGCAATAGGCAATTGGAGCCAACACTTTACAGATCAGCGCTGATGGTATGAAAGCCAGTGCTTAAGTTAACATAGATAAGTAATAGGTAATGGACACTGGGCAAACGGGAGACTGGGGTAATTAGCACTGATAGGTGAAAGAATGGACACAGCAAAGAGCAATTTGAAGCCAGCTAGGTGATTAGCCCTTACAAAGATCAAAGTTCCAATCATGTTGTTGTTTGTTTGTTGTTTTTATGCCGCACTCCGCAATATTCCTGCTATATGATGGTGGTCTGTATATAATTGAATCTGGAACAGACAATCCAGTGATTGACATCATGAGCATCGATTGATTGATTTTGGTACGATGACATGCATCAAACAAGTCTACGAGCCTGACCACTTGATCCCATTAGTTGCCTCTCACGACAAGCATAGTCGCCTCTTACGGCAAACATGGGTTGCTGAAGTCATTCTCTACCCTGATCTTCACCCGTTCACTATCGTGTAGCTGGAACATTGCTGAGTGAGCATTTAAACAACAAACAAAGAAACAAATGATTAAACAGCCATTTCTCTCAGATCGCTCTTTGAACCTTTGCTGTATGTATTCATGAGCAATAACGGAGAGAAAAAAATTTGAAAAAATTTATTTTGAAAGTTATATCTTACATTAATCTATAACTAATTACATGGCAATATTTTAATCAGAATTAATAAGTAGGTTAATCAGAAATTTACAACAAATTACTATTTAATGAATAAGACTTTATATTAATACTGAAGAAGATGAGTTTCATTCAGTAAACCTACACTGGAATGCATCTCCCATTAAAACCCACTCACTATAAAACCCACTCACTATAAAACCCATTCTATCAGAGTGTGTGAACACTGCATTTAATCAGATTAATTTAACTACTTTACAATTATTGCATTCCTGAAGGAAATCAATCTTTATTACAAAATATGACTTTTAATATTGAATTATCTGTTTTGTAGCATGTCTGTGATGTTTGACTTGTTATGTGTGAACTCAGAATCATGCTTTAACTGTTCTTGTATATTGTGAGGTACATTCCCAGGTGACATCTTAGCATCTTTCTTGTCTGTCTCCCAGACCCAAGAGAATATATTAAAAAGGAACCCAACTCAAGTCTAAAATGATTTGCCTTGTCTAGATTGCCTCGGCTGTAATGAAGCATTTCTGGGCTTCATTTAAATTTCTCCTTTTATTTTGTGGATAAAATTTTTTAGATGAGATAAATTCTGTGACTTACGGATGCATCGTAAACTAATAACTACTATTTATGTATACAGATGTGTATTGTCTCAGGCATGTATTCAGGCCTTTTCAGAAGCCAGAAATTCAGCCCTTGTGTGCTGGAAATGTCAGTTAAAATCGTAAATTGGATTAAAATATTCCCAATTCCTGTTATATAGTCATTACTAATGTTGTAGCTTTAAAGAGGTGACTAACTTCACCGACCATTAACAGGCAGAAACTTTCATGCTTAGTTTTATGTTGTTGCAATGTTAAAAGACATCCGAAAGTAAGAACTTGGCATAAATTCCAATATTAGCTATTTAATGTTTTTTTCAAAAATTGACTGCAGGGGGTACTTAGTTTGGAATCCTAGATAAATCTCTGGGTCTGTTCCATATGGCATGTCAGTGTGCTAGTTCCATATAACCTGCATAAGTCAGGACTGGTATAGAGAGCATCTCACCGCCTCCATGGTCTAGTGGGTAAAGTGGAACGTCATTATTCAACCCCTTGGCCACGTCATACCAATACATGTTAAAAGGGGGCACAGGTGGTCCAGTCGTCTAAGGCGACACGATTTGCTGTGCTGAGTTGCGTCCCCTGGACAAGCCAGAAACCTATGATTGTGGGTTAGAATCCCGGTTCGCTCCAATTATTTTTCTAGGTTTGTCAGCACCATATCCGTGCTCATGGGTTTCACCGAAGTGGTAAACGTCCGAGACCTGAATTACTTCGGGCTTTCCTCCCACATAAAGCTGACACGCCGCGATATAACTGGAATACTGTTAAAAGCGGCGTTAAACCCAACTCACTCACTCACTCACTCACTCACATGTTAAAAGATGGTACTTGTTGTTACCCTGTCTGGAGCTCTGCTTTTAGAGGATAAAGCAAGGGCTGGTCAGCTTGGAGTCATTATACTGAGTAGGCTATCCATGTTAAACTGGGCAAGGTGTTAGCACTATAGAACCAGCATTAATCAGGACTAGAACAAGCAGTCTCACACACACACACTCGCACACACGCATGTCACTGTATAAGCGAATTAATTTTGAACGTGACTATAAATACCCATTTCACCTCACCTATATCAAAGTGGTAATATATTCAAAAATAAGTTTATCATTAACTGAATCAAAAACTTTTATAGAGTGCTAGTTTCCACAGAATCTCAACTAAGTTGACATTCATACATAAATTCATCCATGATCTGAGTGAGTGTGAATGGTTTTACACCGCTTTTAGCAATATTTCAGCAATATCACAGTGGGGGACACCAGAAATAGGCTTCACACATTGCACCCATGTCGGGAATCAAACCCGGGTCTTCGGCGTGACAAGCAAACGCTTTAACCACTAGGCTCCCCGACCGCCCCTCCATGGTTTGACCAATCA